CTATATAAAGCTACAAAGCATGTGTTCCTAGTTGCGCGCGCGTAAGTTTTTGGCGGAAAGTGTAGCTCTAACATTGGTGGACGCTTAAATAGAAAAAACCGATGGAGACAAAATCAATCTTGAAAAGCAAGAATGTAAAGAGGAATTTGTTAGGAAACAAGCGAGCAGCAGGCCCAGGCAAGATAGGAAGATCAGGAGGAGGAGGTCACGACATGACGAATGGAAATTCTGTTGTAATGCTTCAACATGTTTCATGTTCGTAAAGCACGACAAGTTGTAAAGACTCTGGGTGAGCTAGGCATTGAAATGGTCAGAGTTTCCGGCTGCAGAAGTCACGGTCTTTCGAAATCCGTGCGCAACATCAATAACAAATCACAACCTTGAAAAAACATATTTGAGACTCAAACATGGATTGCGGGCAAGAACAAATCAATAACAATATAGAACGTATTTTTTGGATGCGACTGTTTTATATGCGAGGTAGATACACACGCACATACTCACACACGCAAGCATCTCGGGATATCTTTCAGCTACTAACCGCGAACCTATCCCTTCCTTTTCCCAGGTCTGTACCTTGGTTCTCAGGTCTGTACCCTGGCATGCGCATAGCGGTTGCAAGCAGCGCAAATACTCCCTTTGCTGAGAAAGTCGGGCGCAAGGCATGGTGGGTTACGTCAGTTGTTTGCTGGTGCAAGGTTTTGGGAGAAGTCTTTGAGAGCAAAGTGGGAAGTTCAGTGTTCAAATGATGTATATGCATATTTATGAACGTTTTTTCATACAACATGTACGTATGTACACATGCAATCTAAATAAACGTCATGAACACGTAACTTGACGCAATTTGATGCAATGTATGTAATGAAAGGTAATGTCATGTCATATAATTTCTCGTCATTTATTATGTAATGTAATGTAATGTATTGTATTGCTGTAAGTCGTGTATGCACCTGTTTTAGGTATCTTTTTGTGTCCTGTTTATATAACCTATTTCTTGCAGTTATTTTATTGTTTTCTTTTCCCTTGTTCATGTCTTGTGATGGTTTATGGTGTGTGTACTGCAATGTCATACAATGTGATATAAGCAATGCAATGTGATGTGATGTGGTGTGTATGTACAAAATCCAACGCGCTGCAATGCAATGTTCCAAATGTATTGTAAGTATGTATGCGTGCATGTGTGTAGGCATGCGTCAGTGTAATGCGATGAAATCTAGTGTAGTGCAACGAAGGCAGTTGTATTGCAGTGGTGGTGCGGTGGTACTGTAGTGGTATGGTATGGTATGGTTCGGCATGGATTGGAACCGTATTCTTAGGTATGGCGTGGTATGGTATGTTATGTATAGCAACGCAATGCCATGTAAGGTAGTGCCTGTATTGCATGTAATGTGGAAATATCTGTGCTGCTTGTAACGTAGGGAATGTATGTAATGTCTGGCCTGCGTGTAATGCTTGTACTGTATTTATTGTTTGAATCAGTGGTTGTAATGTAAGCAATGCATGTACGGTATGTCACGCATTTCATGACAGTCTGTCTGTCTGTTTGTCAATCATCGCCCTCTGTCTGTCTGTGTGCCTGCCTGCCTGCCAGCCAGCCAGGCAGGCAAGCAGCGAGGCAGGCAGGCTGTCTGTCTGTCTGTCTGCCCATCTGTGGGTCTGTCCGTCTGCCTGCCTGCCGGCCGGCCGGCCGGTCGGTCTGTCTGTCTGTCTCTTTGTCTCTGCGCGCGTCTGTAATGTCATGGAATTTGCGGGTATGCGAGGTAAAGTAAAACAATGCAATGCAATGTCATGCAAGGTTATGTAAATACATTTTTTGCCCCCAACATCACTATGTGGGTTTTCGTTTTTTTTTTGCGCTGACCGCCTCCTCCTCCTCCCTCCATCCTCCCTCGTCTTCTCCCTTGTTTTTATCTCAACTCTCTACGTCAACTTGTCTCTACCCACCTTCTCTATCTTAACTTCTGTCTTTCAGCTCCTCTCAATCAACTTCTCTTTATCAACTTCTCTCTATCCAACTTTCTGTCTTAACTCTCTATCAACTCATCTCTTCCAACTCAGCGCGAACAACTCGGCTCCATCAACTCCTCTCTCCGGCGTTTTGTTTCTCCTTTCGAAGATGAACATGGTTTTGAAAAATTGCCCGTTCAACACAATTCAACATACCCGACGATTTTTCCGACATCGTATCTACATTGGAATGCGTGTATTAGAAGATAGATAGATAGATCGATAGATAGATAGATAGATCGATAGATCGATAGATCGATAGATCGATCGATCGATCGATAGATAGATCGATAGAAAGATAGATAGATAGATAGATAGATAGATAGACAGGTAGATCCATAAATCGATAGATAGATCGATCGATCGATAGATAGATAGATAGGTAGATAGGTAGATAGATAGATAGATGGATAGATGGATAGATAGATAGATAGATAGATAGATAGATAGATACATAGACAAATAGATCGATAGATCATAGATGAATCGGTGGATGGATGGACGGATGGATGGTTGGATGGATAGATAGTTATATCTATGCGTGCATGAAGATATCAAATCTTTAGCTGCATACATGATGGTGGTGCGGCGCAGCCACCTTTGTGCAGCAGATGTGTCTTTCATGCGCTTCTTCCACAACCCAGTGGAAGTCCGCCATGAACTGGCGAGACGCGGCTACACACCCCAGCGCATTAGCCAGCTCGTCAAAGATTGCGAGCAATGGCCACCTCGCGACCAGAGGCAGCGCGAAAGGCAGACCTTCCAGGACCAGCCGAACATGAAAAAAGGAAATGATACCTCAGATATCGAATTAACTAGCACGAATGTACACAAGGGCTTGGGTCGGGCCAACCATAGCTTCCGAGGCGCGGGGGAGGGCGGAGGCTGGTGTGGGTGCGTTTTGCAGCAGTTGCGGCTGCGGTTTATGCATAGATGTCATAGATGTCATGGATGTCATAGATGTTATAGATGATTGCTGGTGATATAGATGGATAGAGTGTTGGGGGGAATCTTGGAAGCAAACAGCAATCCATCATCTCTTACGGAACCGGATAAAATATGGGTGGTCAGAGCCACCTGTCCTAGAAATATGGGGCTCAAGTAGTCGATGATTATCTTCCAAGTCTATAACTATCCACATATGGGGTGTCCGGTATGTCCGGTATAAGTGATACAATGTAATTAGTCATCATCCAAATGTGTGCTGTTGCACGAACCAAGTTAACTTAGCGTCCCTTGAGCTTGTCATTCCGCATTGAACGCAATTCTTGCATCAGGTGAAGCGCCAGATCAGAAAGTACACAGCGTGAGGAATGTCTGAACGAGAGGCATTAATTCAGGCGTGGCTTGGTTGGCAGTTTTTTGGAGGCTATGTTGGACCATTGGAAGGCTATGTGAGGCCAATTGGAGGCCACGTCGGAACTATGTTGAGCAACTTGTGGCTCGGTTGGCAGTTTTTGGAGGCTGTGTTGGATCATTTGAAGGCTATGTTGGGCCAATTGGAATGTTAAGACTACGTTGGGACTATGTTGGGAAACTCGTGGTTTGCAGTTGCAAGCCTGTAGTTGTTTCCCCTCCTTTTTGTGTTTTGCAGGTCGTATAAACGGCATTTGTACATTGGGCACATTTGGCTCTGAGGCACACCACGCACTTGGGCAGGGATTTGGTGGAGGGCTTTCTGGGCGTCGGAGAAGTTGGAGCCGCTCCAGCCTCTGCGATCCCAAAGTTGGATTTGCAAATGTTGTCGAGCAGAGCCTTTGCCGCTTGCGACATGGCGACCAGGAAGCAATTAATAAGCCCAGTAAACAGATTCGTGACGCAGGAAAGTCTCGGAGCACCATGCCGTCTACACCTTCAGTGTGGCGGAACAACGGCAAGCGCGCGACATGCGGCAAGAGGGAGATGGTTCCAGCTGATTCCGAGGCCAAGTCCGAAGCTGAGAATTAACCACCACTGATGCGCTCACACCTTTGATAGACAATTTTTTTTTGGTGAGCCTGGTCCAAGATAAGTAACCCGCTTGCTCAGAAGCCATATGCTTTCTTATTTTTTGTGAGCCTGCCGTGAAAACCCACGCCATTGGCAGGACAGCTCTGCTGATGCAACCTTGCAGCTGGCGTCCATGTGGAATATGGTTCAATGATTAGCAATATTGGCAACCGTGTTCATGCGAAGCAAATGTTCGTTCTCGAGCTTTCAGTTCGAGAAAAAACAGACCCGTAGCTACAGGTCCGCCGTTTGGTGTGGGGGGTAGGATGGCAGTGTCTGCTGGAATCCGATTGGAGGCGCGCTATCCGAACGACGCTGAAGCAGTGGTCGCATGCTGCAGCTTTCCTTTGGTCGAAGCGGACCAAATCGGGTATGTACAAAATATTCCGATGGATTCCTGGCGTCATTGAGCTGCCAGACCAATTTTTCGAAAGATTTGGTTTACAGCTTGCTGCTTCATGTCTGGTGCCTGCACGATACGCAAAGGAAGGCGGATATGTGGAGCAACTTTTGATTTGGTCACCACGGAGAATGAGAGCACAGCATCAGAGCAGAACCGGCTGCTGCATTTCGCGCAAGTGGTGATATGGGCCGATTTGGGATTTGAGCGCGACCACCATACGAAAAAACGCCTTACAGCCTTGGAAAAGCTAAGCGTTCAAATCCTAATATCAGTTTCTGCGTAACCCAAGCTTTCTCCAGACAACGAAGAGCCGAACGTGTCTTCTAGTCTTCCAAGATTCGAAAAATTACTTTATGATACATATGTACACGCGTGGGTCTAAATATACATGTATCTGCATTCATATTTTGAATATGATAACAATCGGGCATAGCTGGAAAGGAAAGAGTATGCGATTCTACAGGTGCACAGGTATGCATGCACACACGCACACATACACACACACATACACACCCACACATACACATACACACACACTTCCTAGGGTATATTCCATCTACTACCTATGAACTCCATTACTTCCCTCACTTCTTTTTCCCAGGTCTGTACCCTGGCATGCGCATAGCGGTGGCTAGCAGCGCGGATACACCCTTTGCTGAGAAGGTCGGACGCAAGGCGTGGTTGATTATGTCAGTTGATTAGCGCAAGAGGTTTTTAGGAAGGCTTGCAGAGAGCAACGTGGGCTGTTCAACACCCAACAAGGCGCATGTGTACATATGTGAGGGTTGTAAGACTTGAAGTTGTACAGTACACTGTGTGTATGTAATGTAAGGCAGGAAAGGCAAGGTACTGTCATGTCATGGACTAAAACGTGGTGTAGCGCAATGTGATGTCATGTCTTAGCTGAATCACAGAAGGCTTCAGGGCTTCCGTCTATAGGAACCTGATGAGGGGTACGTGTACACATCCTCAGTGGCCGCGCATGTAAAACATATGTAAACATAAATAAACAATAATAAACATATGTAAAGCACATGTAAAACGCATGTGATAAGTTTGCGATTTGCGCACCAAGTGTGTATGAAACATACACATTTGCGTTTGTGAAACGTATGTGATGCGTATGTGAAGCATATGTGCAACGTATATGCAGCGTATGTGAAAGCAAATGCTAACTGTATACGAAACACATGTGAAACATTGACGTGTTTTGCGGCTAGATTGCGATATGTTTTTGTTTTGTTTGTTTATATGCGTGTGAATTTGTTTTTTTTTAAATTTTGTCGGAGGAAAAAAAACCATTCTTTCTGCAAATCGCAAAACAAGATTTTATTTTGGACCGTAGGTAATTAAAAGCAGAAACATAAACATAAACGCAACGCAAACGATAACGCAAACACGTGCAAACACATTTTGTTACGTTTATGTCTGTATATGTGTGCGTGTTTGCGATTTTTTGGTATCGTAATGATACCAGGCAAGAAATACCAGGCAAAAAGAACATTTTTTTGCGCAAATAAGGACTTATTTCGACTATAAGTACGAGAAACGTAACCATAAACATGAATAATACAGCCGCTCATGGCCATGTCTGGATATGTCGCGAAGATGCGCGGGCCGTTTTTTTGTTTTACGTTTTTTCGCCTCGTTCATCGCTGGGCGCATGGTAGATGGGTAATGCCAGGAAGTGTGCCTTTATGTCATGTATGTGTGCATGCATGAACGCAAGAACGTATGTACATATGCGTGTCTGTAGTGTCTGCTTGAATGTATGTAAGGCAACGCACAGTAAGGTTAAAAATGCAATGTAGCATTGGGTGTGTATTACTATTATGAACATATTCCATTTTTTAATTTTTTTGTGCCAACGAGTTTGTGTATGTACATAAAAAGCACGGTAAACGAATGTCGTGATATGCATTGCAATTAGCAGCTATGAACTGTCCTGATCTGCAATGTCGTGCACTTCCCCCTCCAAATTAAATATGATGAAACGTAGTGCAATGTGATGCAGCGTGATGTGATGCAATGTATGTACGTGTGACGGGTTTTTGTCTGTCTGTTTCTTTTTTTAAATTTTTTAACGTTGCGGCCATCGTAATTTTGTACATGTGCATGCATGCATGTATGTATGTACATGTAATGTAATGTAATGTAATGCATTGTAATGTAATGTAATGCATTGTATTGCAATGTAATGTAATGTATGTAATGTATGTATGTAATTAATGAATGTAATTAATGTATGTAATTAATGTACGTAATTAATGTATGTAATTAATGTGTGTAATGAATGTATGTAATTAATGTATGTAATTAATGAATGTAATCAATGTATGTAATTAATGTATATAATTAATGTATGTAATTAATGTATGTAATCAATGTATGTAATGTAATGTATGTAATGAATATATGTAATAAATGTATGTAGTTAATGTATGTAATGTAATGTAATGTAATGTAATGAAATGTAATGTAATGTAATGTAATGTAAGGTAATGTAATGTAATGTATGCATGCATGCATGCATGGATGTATGTATGTATGTACGTATGTATGTATGTATGTATGTAAGTAGGTAAGTATGTCATGTGATGTAATGCAATGTACCGTACGCAATGTCATGGAACATCGGGGAATACAATGCAATGCCACGTGCTGTGTGCACTTACGCGCGTATGTAGGTTGTATCCTGGTATGTTTGTATGCATGTTTGCCTGTGTATATGTCTGTACGGTATGTAATGTAATGCAATGCGATGTGATGCAAAATTGAATAAAGTAAATGTGAAAGATCTGTAGAGGGTGCAAAACTTCTTGTGCCTTTCTTGTTTCTTTACATACAGTGGATGGTTGAGAAATCCTGTGCCAGTTGATAGGTGGGCAAAATCCCATTTATAGGGTTTCAACCATCCTTTTGGTGGTGCAGGATTTTGCAACCATCCGCAGTATTATGTATATACATAGAATATAGTATATATATAGTCTCTATATATACATACAATGTACATATTCACATTGTATAAATACATAGTATATTGGAGAGACCTTCGTTGCTCCAACGAAGCTGGTACTCGATTTTCGGATCTCAGTTCTGGACGCGGAACTGATGTAGCTATGGGTAAAGTAATGCCATAACCCACCCATGACTGGGAAAGGTAAACATACCACCTATAAAAATGGTGAGGACTGGGGGATGGTTTATGGCATTGTTTTACTCACATTGTATATATACACATTTAACCCTGTCGTTTTTTGGCTATCAATGTCCACAATGATCTTAAATATCTATAATTTATATGTGTATATAGCTGCCCCGTCTACACCCAGGGATGTAAACCCCCACCTGGTCACTTATGCGATCACTTCTGCTCTAGTGTGTGTAGGTGGTATGTACGGATAGACGTGTAAAGATATGATTGTATGAATGTACATATCAGTGTATGCACGTATGTACGACTGAAGTTTTTGAATATATAACCGGATGTTTGTCAAATCTGTTTGTGTATGCAGTATGACGCCTTTGTGGTGTATGTACTGATGTACATAGGTATGCATGGGTGTACGGAATGTAATGTACCTTAATGTAATGCAATATAATGTAATGTGGTGTAATGTAACGTAATGCGCTGTGCTGTGCTGTATGTGATGTACTGTTGTGAAACGTACTGTAGCCTGATGCTTGTACATAAGTATGTGCGCATGTTACTTGATGTTGTAATGCAATGCAACGCACTGCCGTGCAATCTAACGTACTTCAATGGACTGCACTGTAATGTATGTACGGCATGTATAGAATGTGATTGATGTATTTGTAGTGCAATGTAACGCAGTGCATTGCAATGCAATGTAACGGAATGATATGCAATGTAGCGAAATGAAATGGAATGAATGTCTGTTTGTATGTAATGTATTGCAGTGTAGGGTGTACGTATGTATTGTAATGCACTGTCTTGGCACGAAATGTAATGTATCGTTTTCTTTTGCATTGAAAGTAAGGTGATGTAACGTACTTTACCATCATGTAAGGCAATGTCAATGTCCTGTAGTGTCGTGTGATGCAGTGATGGCGTGTATGTTTGTACATGAGCATGTGTGTAGTGTTTGCAATATACTTTTTGCATCGTTATTTCTTATCCGTCACGCCGATATATGTAATGTCATGTCATGCCAGGTGGAACGTGGCACCAAATAAAACGGGTTCGAAGCGACGAAGCGCTTCCGGAATGTTGTGTCATGTGATGTAGGATAATGTCATACTGGTATATTATAATCAATATTAATGATAGTATCAACCATATTATAACCATATCATAATTAACACTTATATTTATTAGTCTTGATACAACTAACATATACTTTATGGATAATCATATACGTGGTATATTTGATATATACCATTTATACTTGGTGTTTCATCCCACGAATCGAAAGCTTTTTGTGAACATCCCGGATGAACCAGGGGTAGTTCACCACCGCAAGTAGTGTAACGTAATGTAGTAAGTGGGATAACCTATTACCCTCTGGTAAATTGACATAGCTATTGAACATGGCCATTTATAGTGGTTTTGCCCATTGAACATGGTGATTTTCCATAGTTGTGTTAGTTTACCAGAGGGTAGTGTCAAGATTTAATTTAATAAGAACGTAATGGTGGTTCATTCCACTTAATGTCAATGGATTTTTGTTATGTAACGTACTTGGTTTGGATATGTGCATATATCAAATGCGCAGACAATTTTTCACATGATTAAGTACCAGCGGGTTATTTGACATAGCCACGGAAAATCACACTTTTTAATAGGTAAACCATCCATAAATGGGCCATTTTCCATGGCTATGTTAAATAACAGATGTATGTGATACTGGAATTGCATGTGTGTATCAGCCAGACATACGCCATTCGGTCCTGAGACTTGGTTTTAGTGTTCCGTTGAAGTAGGTTGTTTACAGATTGGGCATAGGATTTTCAGGGGAACACTTACAATATATAAGGAATATAAGGATAAACCATGGAATAGAAGGATAAACAATGGAATATAACACCATATCGGTTTTGAACATGAAATATAAGGATAAACCATGTAACATGTATTTTTTTTCGTCCAATTTGGAATCAAAAACGGTGATTTTTCGCGACACAGGTGGGTCACAAGACGGGGACGGATACCAACGAAAAATGATAACATTGATGGTACATCAGCCATTAAGATTCCTACCATTTTCAACACATGGATCATGGATCCTTGACATGGTTTTGGACAATCATCATTCCTTGATAACTTTTTGACGAAAAAACAAGTTTTATGGGTCATATTGGAAAAGGCAATTGCATTGGTTGGTTTCCTCAATTTTACAGCTTTAGATTGGAAAAGGCAATTGGTTTCCAAGACGAACCAAACAATTCAGAAAATCGATTAGTTGGTAGCTAATTTGTCCGTGCTTTGCTTCCGAACGCCGACATTTGGATGTGTTTGGGATGACGGCAGGCCTTGGCAATGCTCGAGGCGCGTTTGGCAAATTCCGGGACTTCTACCGGTTTTTTGGGGGCCATGGGGTCTCCACCTCCACGACGGCCCTGGGAGCTGGTCAACGTTTCCAAAAAGCTATTGAAGCCATTGTTACCCAGTCGAAATAGTGGATTCATGTTTCTGGGATATCAACCATACCTTGACACTACCCTCTGGTAAACGGGCTAACATAGCGAACTGGAAAATCACCATGTTTCATGGGAAAATCCACTATTTCTATGGCCATTTTAAAGTTCGCTTTTTGGAAACGTAGAAACCAGGCCGGGTACACTGAGTAACGCTGGTAGTCGATCAAACCGGGCTCCTGGGGAGGTTCTGCCTGGCATCAGCGTGTGGCAGATGCTGTTGAAAGACTGGAACGGCGAGGATGTGAACCAAATTGGTGCCCTTGGCGGGGAAAGTCCACAGGAGCCTGGAAGTTTAGTGGGAGAAGAATAGATCTGAATCGAAAAAAATGGGATATATCAATCAGCATAGGGATAATCATATAGGGAAAACAATATCTCAACCAGAGATAATGATCATCTTACGCTTACTTAGTATAGTATGATTTATTTTTCATCGTGAAAATCAAAAGGTTTGTGATGTGCCGCAATCATCGGGGATGGGATGCAGAAATCGAGGGTTCTGAAGGACACAACGGACACAACAGCCTGCATGGTTCAGCTGTAGAGGGTTTAAAAGCACCAATGGATTACTTAGAACGGCCATGGAGTTAGTTAACTAGTTAGTAGATGGATTATTCAGTGGGATTGTTTGGGGGTAAGAAATCCCCAGTTACTAACCAGGAATCGCGTTTTTCCCATGGACCATCCAAGTAGAGTTTGGATCCAAAAATTGGGAGAAATGAAATAATGACCCCATATGCTGCCGGAGACCCGATAGATGATGGGACTTGGATTCGGGAAACCATCCCTCTCAGACTAATCCCTAATAAAATCCCTAATAAAATCCCTAATGAAATCCCTAATAAAATCCCTAATAAAATCCCTAATAAAATCCCTATATAATCCCAATATACTTCCTATATAACCCCTGTATAATCCTTCTATAAGCCCTATATTCAACTTGACGCTACACGTCCGTCCGAGGTCGACAACCACCACTGTCCTCCAACAAGGCTCAGACGCATTTCCCACGACTCAAGGACCGCGGTGGCCAGGGGTGATTTTGATGAGAACATGGGCCACAAATTGGGAGAGTTTTTTCAGCCTAGGCATACTATGGTTATAACTTTATAACTATAACTGCTATAACTATGGTTATAACTATAACTATGGTTATAACTATAGCTATGGTTATAACTATAACTATGGTTATAACTATAACTTTTTTCCTCTGGCCTGTGAGAAGTCTTTCTCGTGCCGCCTTGCAAGTGAACTATCGCCTGCCTAATGGCGTGGTTGATAGTCCGGCATGATACAACCGTACTCAGTACAGGATGTGTCAACTGCCAATTCATGCGCCCAGGGTTCGTCCAGGGGAGTGCCGCATGCCGCAGCCACACGAGTGGCCAAAAGCGGACGCAAGGCACATGCAAAACCCTTGTTTAGGGCAGCGGGATATTCTTTCGCTGCCGCTGTCCTAAAACGCCCCTCGCTGTCCTTGCCAATTAGCAAGGTCTCAGGCCTGCTCAGTCCAGGGACAATGCAAGTCGCCAGCGCCGCAGGGAGATCGCAGTTCGAATAGAGAAGGGTGGTTGGCTTGATGCCAGGGGCACCAAACCGCCATTGCTCTATGGTGGTCTTGCGGAAGAGAGCACCCGGTCGTCGAAGCAGCATCTTCATGAGAGCTAGGCGCCAAATGCTGGCCATCTCTTCAGCAAAAGGAACCGCCGGGTGCTCTAAGAAGGTGGCTCCTCCATGTAGAGTCACCAAGCAGGCCATGAAAATGCCCTTCAGTAACAAGCTGTTACCTATGAAGGTCTGCGCAAGTTCTGGTTGAGTAAGGTGGCTCAGGCCCCACAGGAAATCCGCCATCCGCAAGGGACGAGGTCCGCGTAGGGGGACACCAGAATCATCAACTTGCTGATGATGTCGGGCTGATGTCCACGTTTCGCATGGTGGGCCTTGAAGCAAGCCCAATACACGCCCAGCCCTGGCAATGCCAACCAAAAAGTTCCTCAGCTTCTCATCATGAATGTCGAGCTTCTCGTTCACCGCTGTGTCAATAGAGATAACTCGAATATACAAGGCTGGAAACTCTGCTATGACCGTCTCAATTTGCTCGTGGAAATCAAGTGCTCGCCGGCGACCAGAGTACAAATGGAGCACGTAGAAGGGTCCAGTGGAAGCCAATCTGGTCGGCAGCGGGGTAGTCAAAATTCGCCATGAAGTGCGCTGTGCTTCTTCTGCAGCCATCTCCTCATACTTCGACTGAATGGCATGAGTACGTGAGTACGGCCGCGCAGTTTGGGATGGTAGCGGAGCTGGGATGTCTGGGTCATCCTGTGGTAAGTTCATCCAAAGCTGGACCAGTCGCTTCATAGCCAAACGATGTGTCCAAGCAGGGATGTCTTCCAACATGTTCATGTAGGCCACTTCCGCAGTTTGTCTGATGTCGGGATCAAGGTCGTCCGGCCAGGCGTCATAGAAGCCCGTCTCAATCCAATGCACAAAGATGCGTCCACCCAAAAGATCAACCACCGGGAGGGCAAAGATGGCATCAAAGAACATGTTGTGGAAAGAAGGTTCATCCGGACTGTCTTGGGCACACCAATGTTGAAAGCAAGTTGCAAAGGTGTTGCACGCATTTTGCACCAACTCTGGATCACGTTCTGGATGCCACCACGCAAAGTCAGGGGCTCCCGCAAGACGCAAGTCAGCGATGCGCTGTCTCAGAGAGATGCGCTGGCGCTGGATGCTAGTCGGCCGAAGCGGCCCACAAAGGCGTCTAACAGCTGGGAGCCGCTTGATGTGCTTCAAATGGTCTGGCAAGTGGATCGTGATGGGTTCGTCTGGAAGTCGTGCCCCATGTATTCTGTCCCAGCATCCATTGGGTCGATACCTGAGATGCTGCTGCACTCGCCAAGTTGTGTGGAAATCTCGAAGACATCCAGGGCAAGTGGTGGACTGGATGTAAGGCCTTTCCTGAGACAGGACCTCGTGCTTGCGATAGAGATGTGCAGCAAGAGCCTGACGTGAGCGGAAGCCACGATCACAGTGTGAACAATTGAAGGCAGGGACATCTTCCTCTTCAAGAATCGTACCTTGCCATACCTCCAGTCCATTTTGGGTGAGCTCGTGGACAATTGCTTGATGATAGTAGGCAACATCTCGTGCAATTCGTTCTTGTAAGATATGCTTGCGCTCTGCTCTACTGACCAAGGCTTTCCAGGAACGGCAGGAAGAGAGATTTTCCCAAATCTGTGTCCACTGCGGTGCCGAAGCATCAAACAGGAATGGAAGGTCTACCAATTTGCTCATCCAATCCAAGTCAACTGAAACCTCCCACAGCCACCCTTTGCACGTAGCATACTCAATGAGGAGGATCTCCTTGTGGTATGAGGCTCCGTGTTGCGCCACATGTTGAAGATACTTGAGGCGATGGCAAGCCCAGGTAATGCGAAAAGGCGCAACTTCCAAGTGATGTCGAAATTCCACATCTGGCATGTTGTTGTCCTTCCAGAAACCGATGTCGGCCATGCGTCTCTGATGAGCGATGACCAGTGCATCCATCTGCTCTACGGAAGCACGTGTGACATCATCCCATACGGCGCAGCCATACATGAGTCTGGAAATGACTAAACTGTTGTAGAGCTGGAGACGCCCTTTCAATGGAATGGCCTTGTTCAAAAAAAGAGGCCGTTTCAATTCCTCAAAGGCTTGTCTAGCCATGGCTGCGCGGAGTCTGGTTTCATACGCAATGTCGGTGTCCATGGTGAAGCGAGCGCCCAGATGACGATACGTTGCCACCACGCGCATAGAAAGAATATGCGAAGGGGTGCTCACCACCAACTTGGGCTGGACCTCTGTATCAAAAAGGGCCGTGCGAAACTTGGCAGCACCATTACCCCGATACATGATCACAGCTTCAGATTTTCCACTTTCAAAATTCATCGTCATGCCATGGGCTTGGAAAGTCTCATGGAGTATCATCACCACATCACGCATCAATGGGAGCAACTGGGAGGGCTCATTCGCAACAAGGGGCACTGCCAAATCATCAACCCAGGACAAAGGAGGCACTGTAATACCCAAAGCTTGACATCCTTGCAGATAGGCTGGCAGCTCGTTGAGTTTGTCTCCAATCTGCCACATCATCTTGGACATAAGGAGGTTGAAGCCAATATCAGCAAGGGGCGAGCCAGGGCGAGTTCCACGCTGTGTCACTGTTGTGGTCCCTTGAGACGCATCTAGCTTGAACCATGTGTCTTTGTGGATATCATGCAGGAAGCCACGCAAAGCTGCAGGAATGTCTTGGGGCTGCTGGTTGCAAGCCGCATGCAAATCGCGTGCCAGCTGCTGCACATCAAACTCGTTCGGGTCGAAGATTCGATCCAGCATCTCCCTTGTAGTGGGCTCTCGCACAGAAAAGATGAACTCCCTCAGCATGTGGTGAAACGCCGCTTTGAGGTCCACAAAGATGGCAGCTGTTGACAGGCGTCGGCTGCGGCCAATTTTGCCATGAAGGCGCAAAAGCTGCACCGCTGTGGTCGCCTGCTGAGACGGGAGCCCGCCTATTTGGCCAGGCGCTTTTCGCTGAAGAAGCGTTGAAAGGAGCCGCTTGCGCGTCCATGCGTGTAGGACTTTGCCAAACACATCGGCCAAGAGAATGCCCCTGTAAGCAGAGGCCAGCTGCCTGGATTGCTTGTGCTTCCATATGGGGACAAGCAATCCCCCCTTGTATCTGAAGGGTTCAACTCCGCTCACAAACGCTTTCAACAGGACATTGTGAATGAAGGGAGCGATCACGACAGCCGCATGACGACATACTTCCGGTGGTAGTCCATCAAGACCTGCCGCACGATGTGGTCTTTGCCTCAAACACAATTCTTCAATTTCAGTCAGCGTGGGCAACTCCTGGATGGCAATGTGTTGAGGCATCAGGTGATCTGCACGGTCTCGATTGTTGCGAGCTACACACTGTTGTTTAGCCACCTGGTCGTCAACTGATTGACCAGCTTCGAGTTCAGCAAAATGCCATTGCAGATCATCGCCAATGTCATATCGGGCGTGGAACTGCTTGATTCGATTCTTGGGCAAAACTGCTTTGATCCTCTGCCACAATGCCGTCAAGCCTTCATGAGTATACGTCTTACCAGACTCATGAGCAAGAGCTTGGTAAAACTGCGTGTCTGCAGTTCTGATCAACGTAGTGACTCGGCTAGCCAGCTGTTTGTAATGAAACAGGGTTTGGGCAAGGGCTTTGTCAAAGAGGGAGGTCCAACTTCTCAGCTGCTGGTGTTGAGCTTCAGAAATGGGAGCTCGACCTCTCCATGTGGCAAAGATGGTTTTCAACGTAGTGGTGCGCCAGGTCCGCTTCATACATTGTAGTTGCCTGAATGCAAGCTTTTTCTGTTCGACCTGCTGCCAGATCTCCTCGGAGATATGTCGTTTGCGCCGCCACTTTGAGACTCTTGGAACCAGTCGGGCAAGTGCTCTGCTCGCCTGAGTGGCTAAAAGATCAGCAGACTGATGAGGATCCAAAGCCCATGGTGCATCATGCAAATCGTTCGCAAAATGATGAAGGATTTGAGGATCGCCGAGATATTGAGCAAGTTGGCGACGATCAAATCTTGGAGGAGGGCGTTGTCGCTCCTTCTGAAGTGAGATCTCTTGCGTAAACTGAAGCCATCCAACTACCGCCGCATGATCTTCTCGTGTTCCACAAAGTTCAATAGTGTCAGCAACCCATGTTGATAGACAATCATATTGAAGAGCAGTGGGAACAGCAATGTAGTCAATGCGCGTTCTATGCACACCATCTGGTGAACAGAAAGTTGAGCTACGATGTCCAACATGGTGGTCAGCCATTGTACTGGGTGCACATAGTCGATGGGTGAGCATCCAATTGTGGAATTCACGTCCCGGACCATTTTCCTGAGACCAATCGTGAGGGCCAACTGCATCCGTGACATGCTCACCAAGGTGGCCATTCGTATCTCCCATGAAGAACAGCAAATGGTCTCGTTCATATGGACGGACG